ACCACTTTGCGTTTATTTATTTCAGGACGAATGATATTTAATCGAAAAATTCGCTAACAGAAAAAGTTTTTCTTTTTCCGTAGAGTATAGTGCAAACTTTTCTGAATTCAGACAAGTCCTTGAAACGTCCACTCTTTTTGATGGCTTAATTTGAGGTATGAAGTCGAGATTAAGAGCACTCTCATTTCATTTGCGCAAACAAGCAAAAAAAATGGATTCTAAGAAAAGAACCATGGGAATTCAAAGTCATAGGAAGGAATCAATTTATAGTTGCTTTGATTTTTTTTATTGCTCGCATTTACTGAAGGCAAAGAAAAAGTTCAGAAAGGTCAAGGGGCGCGTACTCACACGGAGGGATTTTTTCTACTGTTTTATCGAGCGAGATGGTAGCCAAATGTCCATCCACTTTTCGTGCATGATTCATAAATTTCGACTCCTGAGTATTATCCTGCACTACGCTCACCATTTTCGAAATATGAAAGTATCGTATCGATTGTTCTCTGTATCAGTCAACCTATATTCTCCGGTTGACATATACTGAATATTTGGCACACACAGGAAATGTTTCATTTTTTTACTCTTCTCGAATGACAACTGCTTTAGAGTACGGTACCTGGTTTGCAACGATGCTATCATCTGCACTGAACGGTGAGGAAGTGCTGCTGTTGGCAGCTGCATGTTGTTGATGTTGTCATTGCAACACATTCTTTCTAAAATTTCTCCATTTGTCTGGAAATTTGTACTTTCCCAGAAACTTTTTTTGTTCATTTTTCGAAATTCTTCTTGTCTATCTGTTGTGCTTGTTGCAGAGAAATCCAAAATTTGTTACTTTCAAGAAGTGATGCGTTTGCGAAGTTGTCACATCACAGTTGACAGGTGGGAAAGGATTCCAATTTCTGATATTGTAAGATGAAAGAAATTGTTGTCAAGTATTACAATTCAAATCTCGAGATCAAACTGTTAATAGCTGAATTTTCTCCACCAGTTACTTCGGACGATTAACTTCATGTGTGAATTTGATAAACATCAAGATTTTAGTTATAGAAAATCAGTTAAGTTTTCAAAATGCAATTATGAAAAATTTCTTGTTGGATGAATAAATCCAAAAGACTAACGATTATTTGTCTATTTAATTGAAATCCATCTTTGTCTGAAACATTTAAAATTTAGCATTTTGTCCAGCAGTCTAAAGAATATTCAAATGGAAACATCTGAAAAACAGCAAACGAGAAAGTGATGAAAATTTCGAGCCACTAGCTTATGGCTCGAATTCCAACAAAGCATCAGTTTAAATCTGGATGAAACATAAAAATAGTACTGTAAAAGCAAACTTAAGATTATATACAATTATAAAAGCGTTTTGGCAGTGCACTGAAAAATAGAAATGGGTTCATATACAATTGGAAGTTTCTTTTTTCAGACAATTCAAAAGCTGACCGCTTAGATATTGCGTCAAATCGTTCTTGGATTATATTATATCATAGCATGCTTGTCTAGTAAAGATTTTATGGCCATATAATATTCAGGAATATGATTGATTTAGTCTGTTACTTTTTAACTGGAACGATTTTATTTGTGTTTGTTTTTTAGGACGACTGGTTCTTTGACTTTCGTATTTTACTTCGAAATGTTTTAAATTCATTGGGAGTTTTCATGGATCTTTTAATTTTTTCTTTTTTGGAATTTCTTGTCATTAGTTTAACTCTTGGACTTCAAGTTAATAAAATCTCTTACAACTTATAAATATTGTTAGTTTTAAAGTAGCCTGCTTGAGCCATCTTTGTCTTCCTTCCAAACAAAACTAAAATAAAGTTCATTTTAAGCCACTGAAAAATAGCAAATATATTTTCATTTTATTTTTGGTATGCAATAAATAATTTATTAAATTGAAA